AGAAAGCTCCAATGCTTCATGATACAAATTCTAACATAATAATAATAATAATCCATTGAATTAAACTTGTTTGCACTGATGCACTACTTGAAAGTGTTTAGGACCCTAACCCTACATACAGTATGATGTCCAGTAGATGGCATACACATACACGGTACACAACAAACGTGGGTATGGACCAGGCGTCAGACGCCTGCAGTGCAGCTAGTCCAGAACGCAGCTGCGCGTCTTCTCACTGGCCATAAAAAGCGTGACCACTGTTGAATTATGAAATGTAATATATTAATTTGTTTATTTAATACTCTTATACTAATCACTTCCTGTATTCCCGTGATAAAAGGGACATGCGCAATAAAACGTGTCACTTCTGGTTGAAGCAAAGCCGACTGTGTATTTATTCCTCTGTCACGTTAAACTATGTTCACGGTATTCCTGCCCTAAGATCATGGCATCGTTAACAGGTTATGGGCCCAGGAGGGACCATGGAAGCCGGTGGAACCGTTTGTGTTTCGACGGAGATGAGAAGAACTACGAGTTATGGGAGACAAAGTTTTTGGGTCACCTGCTGCGACTGCTAGGATTGAAGGCTGTCATCCTAGAGGAGCCAGGTGAAGATGATGAGGCTGATGATCAGAAAAGCGAAGAAGCCTATGCGGAATTGATCCAGGTACTGGACGATAAAAGCCTTTCACTGATCATGAGAGAAGCAGCGGACAACGGAAGAAAAGCGTTACAAAATTGAGGGACCACTGGGAAAAGGAAAAGGAAACCACGGGTGATCAGCCTCTACACTGAACTAACGTCGCTGCAGAAAGCCGCTAATGAGAGCGTCACGGACTATATTATTCGTGCCGAAACGGCAATTACAGCACTGAAAAATGCTGAAGAAACTCTTAGCGACGGGCTGCTCATAGCCATGATTTTAAAGGGACTACCAATCTGTTTTAGGCCGTTTGCCATCCACATTACACAAGGGGATGAGAAGCTAAAGACGATGCATGTTATGGATGTTATGACATTCAAACATGGCACGAAATACTTGGTCACTGTAACTATGATGATGTGTCACAACTGGAAAAGTCACTGAGGGGATGAAAATTAAGGGTGGGATTGATAAATCTAACCTTAACTGTGAA